TTTAAAAAAAGTGAATGATTATAGATACAATGTTTTGGTACATCAAATCTTCCCCATTAGTGAGTCCATGGAAAGGGAGAGGAATGTAACACAAAGTTAGTTATTAATGTCAAAAATCTACAAACTAAAAAATTCCTTGCCAGTGAATACATTCTAACTCATCGCAACACTATTCTACTACGGGTTTCCATGGTGGTAATCTTTACCAAGGTAGATTTTTTAATATACTTTTTTTATCAGTTAGCAGCTGACTGCCTAATTAATTCATTCTCTGAGGTCTTCTGGCTTCTCAGCTCTTTCGTACCACAAAACCTAGCTCCTAGGACACTAAGCCTTGGGTTCTTATGATGTTCAATGGCCTTTCAAAACATCCATTTCCCAGCATGTTGCTATCCTTCTAGAGTTCTGACCATATACATAATTTCTGTGTACTGCCATACGTCAAGCTTCCAGACTGTGACCATTTACTAGCATCTGGGGCTCCCCTTTGGTTCCTGAGCCTGTCTAGGTTGCCCAATGCCCACCTGGAGGGTGGCTATTATTGGCCATCACACTAGTGCCTCAAATAGCATTAAGACAACTGTATGATTCTAATGAACTTTGACACAAATAAAATAAGAGAAGAAGGAATTGTTTGTTAGCAAAATAATCGGGATCCACTTATTCTTGTTTTATTAAGAAGACATATTTAGCTAGCAGAGGAAAATTGCTCAAAGAGCAGCAGCTTTTTCATGGTGCTAATGATGCAAAATTGATGAGAGTTATATTCACACAACATGGGGATATTGATTTATAGGCTTTTGTGTGCTTGGATGGTATGCAGCAGGGGAACGTGAGAGACAAAGATGTTCTTCTCTTGCTTTCCTGAAAGTATTTCTCTCTCTGCATAATGTGAAGAATGTTATCCACGTCTCCTATTAAATCAAAGTTTGACGACAGTACTTTATTGATTGCCAAGTGGAATATTGCTCTAAAATTAAACTGCGATTAGAAGTCTTCCTGGTGGAATTAGATTTGGAGATGATTGTGCAATGGTAAAATATCACCTACTATGCAAGACAGCAGATGGAGATGTTTTAATTTATCTGCAAATCCTCATTAAGTGCTTTAAAAGAAAAACAGTTTTTAATGCTGGATGATACCTAATAGTGCCTTCCAAAATGCAGGAGTGTAGGGGTGTGTGTGTGTGTGTGTGTGTGTGTGTGTGTGTGTGTGTGTAAAGCTTACCGA